CTATACCCTCCCCCCCATCAGAAGCTATTTTAATCAGAATCAGCTCTCCAGTTTGAGGACCACTGTCCTAGGACTTCTCTCACTGTAGTCCTGTTTAATTATATAGTGAAGAGTAAAAATGCATTTCTGACATCTAGAAATCATGTAAAGACATCATTTTCTTGTGTAATTGCATGGGTTAGCACTTAAGAACTACTGATTTTTTTCAATAAATATTTAAATACCTTACTATGTGCTGCCCACAATTTATAGCAACAAACAGCATAGACAAAACTCTGTCCTTAAGGAGATTACATTCTAGTGGTGATAGTAACTACTAGTCTGTACACACATACATATCTCCATAAGTAATAGATAAGACCTGTTTTGCATGGTTTCAAATTGTTTATCCTTTTGTAGCAATTTTTGTTTGTTTCTTTCATGGTTTTTTAATGATTGATCCATGCCGACATATGGAGCCCTCGACTGCTCTATAGAATTCTATCGAGTGAATGTTCCACAATGTAATAATTTCTCTGTTGATGTACATTTTAGTTGTTTTCAGCTTGATTGCTTGCTTTTATAAACAATATTGAATGTTCTGCATATGTATAAGGAAAATTTCTGTAGAGAAGTATTTTTCAAACTTGGGCTGTAACCAGCATATGTTAAAAGCAGAAAGAGATTGGAATAGGATAGAGGAGAACATATTAGTATAAGGCATATAGTAAGTGTAGCATTACTACAATCGAAACTATAGTAGTGGCAGAACTTTTGGGCACTGTGTGTACTGTATTGAGATGTAAGATGTATTTCTTTGGATCATGGGCAAAAAGTTTGCAAACTGCTCTCTCAGGGTTATATGCACAATCTTAACCTGACTCTTACTGAACTGCTCTCCAGAGTGGTGGTACCAGTTTACAGTCCCACTGATTGCTACACTGGTGTTTCTTTTGTTCTCCGCTTTAAAAGTTTGTTTGGATAGACCTTTAAATTTTTGTCCATTGATGAGTATGAAACAGTATCTCATTGTGGTTTTACTTTGCTTTCTCCTGATAACAAGTGAGGTTGACATTAATCCTTTTTTTTAAATACAGGAAAATTAATATAATCTATCTGTTAGATATTAGATTAGTGTTGAAAATGGTAATAAGCGTAATCCTCAATGGCATAATATGAATAGTTGAAATGAGTTGGCTTGCTAGTACTAATGATTGACAGTTGAGGAGCTTAAGAGGTTTAATTTTATGAGCTTTCTCTTTATACACTATAATCTATGCTCAGTAAACTGAGCATACTGTATCTTTCAGTTTGGCGTAGTGACCTTTTTATTTGTATTCATACAAAACCACTGTAGCCATTACTTGCAGCATCATTTTATTGATTTGAATATTAATGTTAAATGTTTGTATAGATACCTGCCCAATATTTTTCTTTTAAAATATTATGATAAAAATATGTATGTGATATTTTAAAATATAAAAAAAGTAAGAAAAAAAATTAGTCTCTCTTATTTTGCTTTCGCCCATTTTTCCTCCCCAGGAGCAACTATTTTAAAAAGATTCTTGTGTGACCTCTTAGACATATATAATTCATGTATATATGCCACCTTTTTCTTTTTTGTTTCTAATTTCTCACATGACGTTCTGTTTATTGTTCTGTAGCTAGCTTTTTCCTTCACTTAATAATGTATCATAAAGATTTTTACCTTGTTCTTTTCAACTGCTACATTTGATTCTATTGTGTAGATGTGTCATAATTTGTGATTCATTTAAGTATTGATATATATTTAGGTTAAAAAGAAGAAAAACACAAAATACACACAGAACTTCAGCTTGTGTAAACTGTTGCATTAGGTATTTTTGTATTTACTCAAATTGACATGTCTGTATATCTGAAGGATAACTTCCAGGAGATAGAAAAGCTGGCTCAGAGGAATATGCATTCAGATAGATTTTTGCCAGGTTGCCTTCTTAAAAATTGAACCAATTCAGACCCTCCCAATAATGCTTCAGAGTAAACTTACCAATATTTAATGTTAACTTTCAGAAGTGCTCATATTGTTTAGTAGTATGTAGTCGAGTTTGAGTAGAAGCTATTTTGTGGTTTCCAGCTAGAGAATATGCAATGTAGAATTTATGGATCTTTTCTGCCTTTCTTCCTTTTACCTCTAAAACTAACAGAAAGCTAATAGACTTTCGCTTAATATAAAGCTAAATGAACTGTTAAAAATCAGAATGATATGATGATTATCCAAAATCTTTCAGAATCTATAGAAGCTGATACTTTAAAATTAGACATTAAACTAATTTAGGCAATATTTCTGTTACTACCTTACAAAAGAGTAATATCAGCACTTTCCTCAACATTAACTGTTCTCATTGATAGTCTTTAAAGAGCAGTTTACTGAGTTTCTCAGTAGAAAAGGCTTATCTATAGTATCATATACTATTTTAATCAGTACTCTATTATTTGCAAGTGACAGAAAACCAACATACTCACTTAAGCAAAAAGGGAATGGCTTTTGGGATTTGTCACTGGGAAATCTGAAGGACAGGTTCCGCCGGTACTCACTCTTGAGTTGCCATTATTTACCTCCCACTTCTGCCTCTTGTCCTTATTCCTTTCTCCCACAAGGGAGGTGAAGGTAGGTTAGCCACAGAGAGCTTTTGGCCGTCCTCATGGAAAGAGAGTGCTTCAGAGCACCTCTCACTCAGCATGTGAATCTAAAATCCCAGGCTAGACTGTTGCTGACCTGCCCTGGGTCATGTCTCCACACCAGTGATTAGGAGATAGAATACAGTGATTGGGGGCCCATTAGAATCTCATAGTGTAGGGAAAGGGTAATTCTCTAAAGGGAATGATGCTGGCAAGTGCTTATCATAAAAGAAACATGCCAAATCTTTCTTTGGCATAAGTGTTGGGTGTTCAGCTGGGGAGATGGAATAGATACCATCAAAAGGTAGATTACAAGGTAACAGATGGTTCAAAGAAGACTACCAGAACTCAGAAGAGTTTGTGGGAGTTAGAATAATCTTTTGGAGGAGATGGTACCAGAGTTAAATCTTAAGGTGATGGTGATGTATTCCATATCAGTTGCTTTCTTTCTTTATAAGGTCTCTTTTATCCATCTTTTTCTTTGTTTCGCGGCCAGACTCTGAATCCAGGTCTCTGTCTTCTAGGTAATTGCAGAAGATGCCCTGTCTGGTCTGTTTTCCCTGTCCAATTCATTGTATACACTGAAGCCAGAGAAGTCTTCCTGGAACATTCTTCTCAAATCCCTGCCCTGCTCAGAAAACCTGTAACAACCTTCATTACTGCCAGAATAAAGTGTTGTACAAGGGACTACACATAACATTTAAGGATTGCTGCGTTCTGGTCCTAGAACTACTTTTCCAGCCTTTCCTTTTGTAATCCTTTACTTGGACTCTGTTTGACAGTGTTTTGCATAAACAGCTAAGAGGAACATGGGGGCTATTTCTGTAAGCAGGTTTGTCTGCAGGTTTAGTGACTTGTGTTTCTTCTGTCTTGTTTGAGGATAGTATTCCTCTAAGTTCAGTCTTCCCTTTTACTCCTTCTCTGCCTTCTTTCATTTTTACTTAAGCGGATGAGACCCAGATAATTTCCAGAAGACAGTGAAATGGACTGGATTATCCATCACGATGCTTACTTCTGATGTGGTGATGCTGTGATTTAATTGAATTTATGAAAACTGCATCTGTGTAGATGGAAATTTGCTGAAATGGAGGTTTCTTTCTTACTGTAAAGACTCACCAGCAAAGTCTGGCCCAGAGCGATCCCTTGGGCTTTTTCTACAGAAAGTAATGGATATAGTCTTATTTGGAAAAATCTTCTTTCCAATGAATGAATATTGGCGGTGCATTGTATAAGTTAAAAGATCTTGACTTTTATGTTCTTCAGCATACTTTCTTCTCCTGGTGCCACGTTCCCTTTTAGTTTGCTAGAGGGGAGGAGGGTGCAGGAATCTGGGAGGGAGGAGGCAGTTAAGAGTCACCAGTAACCTCAAATCATGGTTAATTAAACTTAATTGTACAAAAATGAATTATATGTTAATTAATCTCATTAAAATTAATTCTGATGTTTTAAAAATACATTTCCTATTCTGTAAACATCATTGGAAAGTATAATAATGCAGGCATAGCAGTTTAGGAGAAACTTGTTTCTTTCAACGAGTGTTCTCATTAAAATACCTCATAGACTTGTTCAGAGGATTAAGTGAGATCTGCATGCTAGCTGCAGACTAAGCTCTCGAGTGCTGTGTATTGAAACATTTACATACATACTTGCATATACCTGGTCTGAACATCACACCTCGTAAATTGTCAAACAGCCATCTACTGTTGCCTAATTTACAGCTAAAAATTATAATCTGTTGTCTGTTTCCTAGGTGAGCCTCACCCCCAACCCCACGCCCCTTTGCCTCCCAGTATTGAAACTCTACTTACCTCTCCCTCCTTTCTGCCTCAGCCCCAGCCTTGTGCTCCACTGCGGAACTCCCCAGCACAGGGCTCTCGGGAGGCGCTTCTGGCAGAGGCCGGGGCTGCTGCACCGGAGGACTTCCCGTCTGTCTGGTTGTCGAGAGCCGTTTCTGTAGTGCAGCTGACATGGTGTGAGATCTGTTACCCTGTTCTCTTCCATGGACATCTTTTTTCTCATTTATGTTCTTGTCAGATCTTTCACAGATCGCGGTTATTTCTTATCATGGTTACCTGTAAACCAGTTAGCCCCTCTAGGTAACTGAGAGCTGATTATAATTACAGTTTTTGAACTTCTAGTTTGGGATGTAATGGGGAACTTTTGAATTTAGATTTTTTTTATAGACTTAACAATTAGAGCTAAATCACTGCTTCTTGATATTATTTTAACTTGTCAGTATTAGAAAAATAGAAATATACTTCTCTCCTTTTTTGAAGCGTACGTCCAAATGGGAGAAACTAGAAAACCCCTAGTTGGCAGAACTGATGTACTGATTTGTAATTATACTATTACTTTATTTACAGGTAGGCGAAAACCAAGAGTACATCGGCCTCGTTCTCCAATATTGGAAGAAAAAGACATCCCGCCCCTTGAATTTCCCAAGTCCTCTGAGGATTTAATGGTGCCTAACGAGCATATAATGAATGTCATTGCCATTTATGAGGTACTGCGGAACTTTGGCACTGTTTTAAGGTTGTCTCCCTTTCGCTTTGAGGACTTCTGTGCAGCTCTGGTGAGTCAGGAGCAGTGTACACTGATGGCAGAGATGCACGTCGTGCTTCTGAAAGCAGTTTTGCGTGAAGAAGACACTTCCAATACTACCTTCGGACCTGCTGATCTGAAAGACAGCGTGAACTCCACGCTGTACTTCATCGATGGGATGACGTGGCCAGAGGTGCTGCGTGTGTACTGTGAGAGTGACAAGGAGTACCACCACGTCCTTCCTTACCAGGAAGCCGAGGACTATCCGTATGGACCAGTGGAAAACAAAATCAAAGTTCTGCAGTTCTTAGTCGATCAGTTTCTCACCACGAATATTGCTCGTGAGGAGCTGATGTCTGAAGGGGTGATCCAGTATGACGACCACTGTCGGGTCTGTCACAAACTCGGGGACTTGCTCTGCTGTGAGACCTGTTCGGCGGTGTACCACCTGGAGTGTGTGAAGCCGCCTCTGGAGGAGGTGCCAGAGGACGAGTGGCAGTGTGAGGTCTGCGTGGCACATAAGGTGCCTGGTGTGACTGACTGTGTTGCTGAAATCCAAAAAAACAAACCATATATTCGACATGAACCTATTGGGTATGACAGAAGTCGGAGGAAATACTGGTTCTTAAACCGAAGACTCATAATGTAAGTAAATCTGGGCTTGATTTTTATATGTGTTTAAAATTAAGCCAGCTTCCTTCAAGACTGCTGTAGAGAAGCTACGCTGCTGATGTGACATAAAACTTTGTGTTCTAATAATGAGTTCAGTAGTTAAATAATTTCCAACTTGAAGGAGTATGTACGACTAAAACAGTTTTTAAAATTGTAAAGAAAGAAGGGTGTATGAAAATAAAGGAAAATACGCACCGTTGTATTCAGTGCCCAGGACGGAAAATTGTGTGCCGCTGGGTGCAGTGCGGCTGCCGCGGTGGGCCTTCCTCGGCGGGTTCCCTGCAGCCCACCCGGGGTCATCTCCTTCCTGACTGTGGCGTTAGGGTTTTCTTGCTTCTCTTTAGTTTTACTGTATCTGTATGTAAAATGGAGCAGCAAGAACAAACCAGCTGTGTAAGGAAAGGTCAGTGCTGCCGTTACTGGCCACAGTCTCCCAGGAGAAGGTGAGCCCAGCAGACTCTTGGTGCTAGTCTGGCTTGTGCTTTCCTGAGAGTTTTCAAGAGATTCTTCCAGGCAGGTCAGTGGGAAGGTCAGGAGGAAATGTGGGAAGGCAGAGGGCCAACCTCACTCAGGGTGTGGAGCAGGGTTGGTTTTGGAAATCTTGTAGAGATGTGGTCAGAGGGAGTGAGCTACTTTGTATTTTCAGCTTCTAAAGTTTTGTGACATTTTGACTGTTTTTCTTTGTAAAGTCAAATACAAAACTTTAAATATGATTGCTAGTGATAGCTGTTCCTTGTCAATAATTTCAGTAAATCTGAAAGATTTTACCTCTTTGTAAAAGATGGGTGAAAATAGTTTCTGTTTAAGTGCCCCCTTGTGGTAGATGATATGTGGAATCCCTGCGAAAGTTTTGAAACTATGTAAATTGCTCAGTTGACACTTGTGTGGAGATTTGATACATCCTCTCCCTGGAAGCCCAGAAGCTTAAAATGATGAATCAATGGACCTGTTGCCCAAGGACGGAGGAGCATGTCTAAAACAAGTCTGTGGCAGTGAATACTTTTTAATTGTCATAGTAGTTATTTATAGAAATTCAGTTTTCCTATTATTGCTTTTATTTGTTTAATACTCACTTAAAATGTGTTATTTGTACAGGTTAGTGAATGAAAGAAAACTCATTCTTACATAAGAGTTTGTGATCTGAGGAGCCGAGATATTGAGCAGTTTAGAGATAAGTTTCAGTCCAGTATATTGTGTTTTGTTTTGTTTTGTTTTTTGCAGGGGGAGGTAGTTAGGTTTACTTATTTATTTATTTTTTAGAGGAAGTACTGGGGATTGAACTGGGGATTGGACCCTGTGTATGCTAAGCATGTGCTCTACCACTTAAGCTATACCCTCCCCCCTCAGTCTAGTATATAAAAGGGCTGGTCTTTCTTAAATATTGCTTTCATCCTGTCAGTCCTTTGCTGTGAAATTGGGACCTCTAGTGAAATAGACATTGCCAAATTAGATCAGCACCTTTTCCTGTCACTGTCCATTCTGAATAAAATTACCTTGAGCACAGCATTTTAAAACTCTGCATTTTTTCATTTTCCAGAAGAGCTGATGTATACTTTTTAGCCTATACAACTTCCCAGCCACACCTCCTCATTCTAGCTGTAAGCCGCCTATTTACTTGCTGGCTTAGTTGCCATCAGACTTAAATCTGTAACCCTTGTGCCCATCTCCAGCCTGTGTATCCAGCAGCCTCCTAGACGTGTCCGCATAGCATGCACCTCAAATACAGCAAATACAACATGTCTAAGACTGAACTCATCACTTGCCCCCATTACCTCCCCTTCATTCAGTGTTCCCATCTTAGTAAATGAGATCACCATCGTAAGATGGTGCTCAAGCTAGAGACCTGGGAGTATACTGTTTGTTATACTTTTTAATTACCTTTTAAATATCGAATCCGTTTCCTTCCTTTCACACTGTCCACATCATCTCAATTAGACTAGTTTAATAGTCTCCAAACTGATCTGTATGTAACTCTCCATTCCCCAATTCTGTTTCCCCTAAGTTGAAAAACCTTTTAATTACATACTTCTGTTTGCTCTTAGCAGAAGGTTAAAAGGTCCCTAACTTTGTATATTTAATTTTTTTTTTTGCTTCCTACCACCCACAACAAAATAAAAAAGCAAACTAGAATACCCAGAAACCTTTCAGCCTGCTTAACCTATTTATGCTGTTTCCTAGGGCTTTTCCCCTAAATTTCCCTCCCTGTTGCACCCTGAAACACTTTTTTTTTTAAACACCCAGCCCACTTGTAACTACTTGTTTTAGTGTAAATATCACCAGCTTCATAAGATGAGGAAAACAGCAGCAACCCTGTATATTGCACCCACTGGGTGCTGTCAGTGCGTTAAGCACTTTTCATACTTTAACTTGCTTATTCCTCACAACAGCATTTTGGTATAAGTACTGTCATCCCATTTTTCAAATGGAAAAGTTGAGGCATAGAGAGGTTAAGTAATTTATCCAGTATCACACAACTAGGAAGAGGCAGAATCAAGATTCAGTCGCAGGCATCCTGGTTCCATAATGTGTGCTTTTAACTGAACTCTGGCCGCCTGACCGAGTTTTTTGTCTTTAATCTCTGACTCTCGAGTTGCATTAGTTTCCTGTGGCTGCTGTAACAAAGCAGAGTGAGAAATTAATTTTCTCACAGTTCCGGAGGCTAGAAGTCTAAAATCAAGATGCCAGTAGGGCCATGCTGCCTCTAAAGGCTCTAGGAGAGAATTCTTTTCTTGCCTTTTCCAGCCTCCAGTGCCCCAAGAGCTCCTTGGCTTGTTGGTAGCTTAGTTCCAATCTCTGTTGACCTCTGTCTCCTCAGGGTAGTCTGTCTTGGCGTTTTCTGATGAGTGCCTCAGAATTCTTCCAGCCTTTCCCCAGTATCCAATTCCAAAGCCACTTCTACGTTTTTGGGTATTTGTTTTAGAGCACTTCATTTCCCAGTATCAAAATCTGTATCAGTTTCCTGGGGCTGCCATAACAAATTGTTTTAAATTATTCAGTTTATGGACAACAGGAATTTATTCTGTCATGATTCTGGAGGCTCAGTTCCATGCCTCCGGCATAGCTTCTTGGTGTTTCTTGGCTTATGGACAGGAACATCACTACAAACTCTGCTACTGCATTTACATCACCTTCTTCACGGGTTTCTTTAAATCCTCTCCTCTTATAAGGACAGCAGCCATTTGATTTAGGGCTTGCCCTAAATCCAGAATGATTTCATCTCAAGATCCTAAGCTAATTACACCTGCAAAATCCCTGTTTCCAAATAAGGTTACATTGTAAGGTTTCAGGGGGACATATGTTTTGGTGGGACACTATTCAGCCCACTACACCTTGCGTTCCTCACTCTTAGTTTCTGTGAATTTGTTTAGAAACGAAACTCAAAACTTACTTTTAGTCATTAACCTCTTATCTTGCCTCGGTAAAAGCTAAACAGACTTTAAAATGCAGGCATATAATCTATAAGTTTGCTCTTAATTGTATTTTTGGCAAACATTTTCATTTCAGCCTATCCTCCCCTGCCACCCAGTGGGCTCCTCGCGCTGCTCCGTGACTTTCGAGAAGCCAGCCAGTTGGGGTGTGCAGAAAGAACACTGTAGGCATTGTGGGGGCAGAACTTCTGGAGAGTCCACATTCTAACTCCAAAACCGAATACACATACACATCAGTGTTTATTTGTATAGGAAAGCTGTTGTCACTTTTACAGTTTTTTATGACAATAATCTTGGTTATATAAACTGTGTGAATGTGCCCAAGTAGATCAATATTAAAGCAACTTTTCTTTGAAAGCATTAGCAGCTACTATTCACTCAGTTTTGCTACTTTATGCTTTTAATGAATTTATCCTTCTGCAGCTGCAAGAAGAAAAAAATTGTCAGTGTTGAGTATTATCTTTGATGAACAGAATAAAAAATAATTGTATAACATCACATTTCCAGAGGGACACTGACAAACTGTACATCTGGGCAAAAATACCAGGGCAGTGAAGACTGGAAAACATGCTGTAAGAGGAGTGATTGAAGTATCTGAGCATGTTTGGACTGAAAAGAAAAAACAGAGTAAAATTATAGATATTGTGAAAGATTTGAAGAACTGTGTGTGGGGGAGGTGTTAGGTTTATTTCACAGAAATCTAGCAGGCAGAACCAGGACTGATTGGTGAAAACATTAGGTTTGTGTAATCTCATTTAAAGGGAAGACTTTCTGAAAGACCAATTCCAGTCTCGAATGGACTGCCACCATATAAAGTTGTGAATTCTCTGTCAAGATGTAAAATTGTGTTCTCTGTTAAGGTGGAAATTCTGTGGATGCCAGTACAGACTAAGTTAGTCAGTTGTTAGAGACCCTTTCTGTAGTCTGTGAGTTGCTTGTCCGTTTAATTAAATTTGTTCCCGTGACATCTCATTTTCGTGCTGAAATCTTATGCTTATAAATTGTTTTCTACCCCAAAAAATGTTTTTATGTAGAATATTTTTCTTGTTCCATTGAGATTTGTAGATATTTCTGAATAAAGAGGGAAAACCAAACAGTTAAAGAAATAATTCAGTATCTTTGTAACAAGGGAAATCCTTAAGATTGATATCTTAGAAAATAAAGAATTAGGCTGTCCTGTAATTCTTATGCTTGGTCAAAGCTCACTGTGTACTTTGTGGGGGGTAATTAGATTAATTAATTAATTAATTAATGGAGGTGCTGGGGATTGAACCCAGGACCTTGTGTGTGCTAAGCATGCACTCTACCACTGAGCCACTGAGCTATATCTTCCCCCCTGTACTTTCTGATTTGATATTGCCACTTAGATTTTTGTTATGGTATTACCCTTGGAAAGCTTTTTATTCTTTTTGATTAAAGGAGTCTGACATCTTTAACATTTTAAGTTGGAATAGGGCCACTGTCATCACTCAATGATAAGAAGTCAGTAGAAATACCCATTGTAGGGTGAAATCTCCAGCAGCTTAAAAAAATGATTTTCAGAAATTTTTGTAAAAAGCTTCTAACAGAGGAGTATACTAATCTCATGTCAACGGATGCCTTCTTCAAAGAGCAGAGCTAGATAACAGGGACCCTTTATTAATCTTTTTTTTCCAACTTTAAAACTTTTGATGGTTTTGCTAGCCTTTTATTTACCATGATTTAATATATCCCTTCTTTCTTCAGAGTTATTGAATGACTCATTCCTGGAATTCTGTGAAGTTTTAATTGATTTACTACCCTTCTAGTAATAGTAATATTTTCTATATATTGATCACTAATGATGTGCCCAGGCACTATGATAGATGCCTCATTATGATCCCTTTACTTACCTTATAATAGCTTGCACTGGCTCTGAAGACAGGTACTGTTATCCCCATTTTATCTGTTAGGTAAACTCAAGGCACTCTATTTGAACAACCTCTAATTATTTTGATTTCCTAGCCCACAGCAGCTTAGGAGAAAATATTGTGCTCATCGTCATGGAAGAGAGGAGTGAGTGCAGCAGCAAAGAGGAATATCTAAAAGCATGACACACAGTTAGGTGAATAAAATGACTCAGAGGCTCAGAGAGGTTGTATCTTGTCCACGTTCACGTATCTTATAAGTGACCTTGCCTGTTTAAAGCCAGACCTTTCTTAAAGCTCTGTTCTTTCAGCGCCTTGCGCTTGCCTTTGAGTAGACAGGAAAGTTAGACTCTTTCTTGTCAGATACCTCATACACACTCCTGAATTCTTTTTGAGAGAGAGAACTGCTGATACTAGTGTTTCTAAATCTGGTCCTAGACGTTAACTTGCCTTGTGTTGGAAGCGACCACCCTGTTGCAGTCTCCACCTCCGTTACTAGTGAGTGGCGTCTTTAGAGAGATTTAAGCAGGAAAGGAAGCCGCTCCTCTCTCCAGTTTGATCTTTATTGTTTATAAGGCAAGATGAGAGATGAGACATTGTCACTTGTTTGAGATGGCTCAAGGACCAGAATTTAGCAGAACGTTTACACCATTTTGATGGAAATGTTTCTAAACTATTGTAATGTGGCCCTGCTCTGTACCTGCCACATACTGAGCATAGTTTAAATATTTCTGGTTAAAAATCCTGCTCATCATATTGTTACAGTGATGATCTTAAAATTGTTTGAAGTGTAACCAAGACTGTCCTGCACCATGTACTCACATGCCCTGAATTTTAAGGTCCTGTTTCTGTGTGTCATGTTTTTAGATAGCCTTCTTTGCTGCTCTACTCATTCATCTCTTCCCACAACTATAAGCACATTATTTTTATCCTAAGCTGCTTTGGGCTAGGAACTCAAAATAATTAGAGGTTGTTCAAATAAAGAATACCTTGAGTTTGAATGAGACTTGAGGGCATCTCTTGTGAGCAAATATATTGAGCTTTAGTGCACAACCTTTGAGTTAATGTATTTTAACTTTCACTGGATAGATTTCTACATCTAATGTAGAAAGTGCTTTTTTGCTCTTTTTAAACAGAGAAGAAGATACAGAAAATGAAAATGAAAAGAAAATTTGGTACTACAGCACAAAGGTCCAGCTTGCAGAATTAATAGACTGTCTAGACAAAGAATACTGGGAAGCAGAACTCTGCAAAATTCTAGAAGAAATGCGTGAAGAAATTCACCGGCACATGGACATAACTGAAGACCTGACCAATAAGGCTCGGGGCAGTAACAAATCCTTTCTGGCGGCAGCTAATGGTGAGAGGGAAATTTCCTCATTTTACTTTTTGTTCAATTTGTGATAAACTCTTGGTATGAAAACACTGCAGAATTTGAAGATACATTAAAAAATGATGAATATTTTGCTTTACTTCTGTATTTCATTTTCCCAAGAGAACTTTGTTCATCCTGGCATAAATGAGGGATCCTGTGCATTATAGTGTTTTGTATCTTTCCTTGGTCATTACTGATATTTCCCAATTTATTTGTTTCTTTAGTTCAAGTGTTTTATTAACTCTTTTGGGGAGTCCTATTTTTATTTATGAGACCTGGTGTTCTTTTAAAATGTACTCTTTGTTTTCTTTTTTTCTAATAAACTTTTAATTTTAGAGTAATTCTAGACTTACAGAAAAGTTGCTAAGATGGTTCAGGGGGTTTCATATACCCTGTTATCAACATCTTAAATTAGTGTGGTATATTTGTCATAACTAATGAATCAAGGTTGATATATTGTAATAAGTCCGTACTTTATTCAGATTTCCTCAGTTTTTGTCTAATGTCCTTTTCCTGTCCCATGATCGCATCTGGGACACCACATTATATTTAGTCTTCGTGTCTCTTTAGGTTCTTCCTGAATGTCACGGGTTCTCAGACTTTCCTTATTATTTGATGACTTTGACAAGTTTTGAGGAGTACTTTTCGGGTATTGAGTAGAATGCCCTCAAGGTGGATTTGTCTCATGCTCTCATAGTTAGCCGGGAGTTGTGAATTTTGGGGGAAAAGACCACAGAGGTGAAATGCCAGTCTCATCATCTTATCAAGAGTACCTGCTATCAACATGATTTATCACTGCTGATGTTAACCTTCATCCTCTGGTTGAGGCAGTGTCTGTCAGGTTACTCGACTGTAAAATTATTCCTCCCATCCATCCTGTGCTTTGGGAGAAAGTCACTACACATGGCCCACACTTAGGGCGGAGGAGTTATGCTCCACCTCAAAGGAGCAGTTATCTACATACATTATTTGGGATGTTTCTGCGCAGGCGATTTGTCTATTCTTCATTTATTTATTCAGTCATTTACATCAGGATGGACTCATGGATATATTTTTTTATACTTTGGGTTGTATTACAATTACTAACTTATTTTGTTGCTCAACATTTTGCTTTTTAAAAATTCTTTGCTTTTAACAGATAATAAATGCCTATGTACAAAAGGTTATAACTGGAAAAGTCTCTTTTCCAGAGACAGAGATTAATGCTATTTAAAAAAATCCTGCCAGACATATGCTGTGCAGGTTTAATAAGTATCACATGGGTTTTCTAATAGTGCCTTAGACTTAATATAGGTAAAATGATTAGGTAGGACTCTGAAAGTACTCTTTAACTGCATGGTTCTGCTCTTTTACATATATTCTCTGCTCTGCATATAATCCTATTTTTCCCATTCTCCATTTACTAAAAACTTTCCCCATTCTCTATTTGCTTAAAATGGAACGTTTACATTTAATAAGTGTATTTAGTTCAGCTATATCCAAGCTTGTCTCATACATACTGCATCAATTTTCTCTCGAATTCATGATTATTTTTGGAGAATGATATGCTGTCATATACAAATACTGTTGCACACAAATATACTTTGTCTTCAGAAACTAGCAGACTTAGTTACCAAGGACTATGTTTATTCATACCTGGTCATTGGAAGTACTTTTCTATTTGATCTGGGTTTTTTTTTCATCAGATAAGTGTTACTCATCAGAATTCTTTGGGGAGGTTAATCGCAGTCATATGATCCCTGTCTCACTCCCTTCCATACTATAGATCAAATAATAGAAAGTTTTATAAGTTTCAGTCAGGTTACTTCCCCTCTTAATTTCTTTTCATGAATCATGGTGTTAAAATTGACAAATCCCTTCTTGCTCTCTTGCATTCTCAGCTTTTAGTGCAATAGTGAAGAACCATGTGGTCCCCTCAAAAGCAATGTGAAGTTGTTTTTATCAAGTGTGTTGAATTAGAATTTTCTAGAGTGAGCTTGTCTGTGTATAAAATTGTAAAATTAGTTAAGCGTTTTATAATAATGGAAGCTAGCAGAGAGAGCTCTGAGTGTTAGGACACAATATGTTCTTAGAGCCAGGGTTAGGCCACGGTTTGTGTGCAGCCACCCTCTTAATAAAACTAGAGTTAATTCAAATAAGGTAAACTGCACCTTGGATTTAACAGTGAGATCTAAACAAAGAGTGACATTTTTCTTCTTTTTTTCCTTTTTTCTTTTTTCTCCCCCTCTCTTTTTTTTGTAAGGTGCAACCAACGTGGTACTAGAGGAGGAGGGATTCACAAGAATTGAAAATTGATGGGGAAGAGAAGGGGAAACTAACATTTTTGAGTACCTACTGTGGGCCAGGTGTTCACCTAGGTGTTTTACAAGCCTTTAATCCTCTCAGCAGCTTTCTAAGGAATGTATTGGCAACGAATTAAACATTCAGATAGAGGGATTCCCCCACTAAAACACTGGTTTGCCACCATTACTTTTATTTGCTCTCTCTAGCAACCAACATCTTGGCTATGATAGTCAGTTTAGGAGCATCCAGCCCAGGTAAATACCCAAAATACTATCTAGTGGTATTGTTTAACTTGGAATTTTATGAGATTGAAAAAAAAAAAAGCCACTGGGCTTTTGAAATAGCCAAGAATAATTTGTGGTATCATAACATTGATTTCAGAATCACAGCTCATCCTTACGACTTGACATTTTTAACTTCTCAGATAGTATAAATCCTTTGAGATGTTTAGCCGTCTGGCTTTTATATACATATATGTCCACTTGAGGAGAGTTTAATTCTGTTTTTGATAGTTGAATTTTTCTTTTCTGTTTTTTCCTAATATTTCACAAAAAAATCTCGGACGTACAGAAGGCTGAAAGAATTATACAGTAAACACCCATAAGCCCATCATCTGGATTCTATAGTTTATTATATATTTGTAACTATAAATAGTTTATTGTGTTTATTTTGTCATATACCCTTTTGGTGATTTTGTTTTGTAATGCTTTATTTTGCTTCTTTGAAGGAAGTTTATTTTTGGAATAAACTTTTCTAAGAGGAGATAGTTTTTAAAATCTGTTAGGTTATTTCTTTCTGTATAGTTTTGAAATATTCCTGCAATGTATAGGACATATATGTTTATGCATATTTATTGTAGATCCGTTATAACCTAAATTGATTATTTCTTCTTTCATCTTTAATATGTATATTTTTTCTCTCCCTGACTTTTTTGGTCTGTTTTTCTATGGCTCTGAGTACCATAGTTTTAGAACTGAAAACAAGCACATATAGGCTGATAAATACGTGTATGCTTGATAGAGTGGTTCACAAGAGAGAATATTTGAAACTAGAACCTTTATAGAAAATCAGAGACCTTTGGTCATTCTGCCTGTGCTTTTCATCTAACTTAAGTCATCTAATAATTAGGTTAAAAAAAAGAATGTTGTTCACTTCCAGTAAATGACACTAGGGAAATTGAGAGGGATATAAGAGTTTGGTTGGGAAAAGCTGGGAGTTGAAGATCAGGGTGGAGCTATGTCTGAAAGTAAGAAATAACATGGCTCTAAGAAAAGCAGATGATTGGTACTTATAATTTCTTTTTCTACATATAAATATCTTTTAAAAAGAGTGACTGAGATGAGATACTTCCATTGATAGGTTTAGTGTACTTAGCAAGAGTAAATGCAGCCAGGGCACACAGGAACTACAAGCAGTGCGTACAGACAGGTGAGAGGAAATGATGTAAAAAAGGATCCTGGGATGACATGGATGAAGAGGAAGATAGAAAATATAACAATTGGAATTCCTCTCTTTGAAATTGTTGCCCTATAGCTGACTTACATGATCATATAATCACTGGCTTCTTAACTCTTAAAGGAATTAGGAATAGAGACTGAGAGAGAGTAAGGAATCAACTCCAACCACCTCAAGTGTAATCATTTTACCAGAAAGATCAGTGTTTTTCAGTGATGACTTTACAAGGTTTTTCAATCCTAGCAAACATTCTAGAAACCTACAATTTAAGAAATATTGATGAAAATGAAAGTAGAGAACATTTAAACAAAGGAAATTTTAAAACCCCAAAAGAAGTCTAATGAGTGCATGTCATTGGCATTAAACATGTTTCTTCTTGTTCACAAACACTGCACTCTAGTTGGTAAATTTATTTTTCATGGGAGTACAGCTTAGCAGCTCTGAAACTAATTTACTGTGTATAATAGGAGTGACTAAATAAATAGATATATTGTAGATAATGAAAGCAGAACTTCTGTCAGAGAGACAAGTTAGAGAAACAACAGAGCAATGCTTGAATGAACCACACAGGTACCCCCCTCCCCCGACAGAGAGATGCAATTGATGTGTGTATATACATGGGTTAGCATCCATGCGTACATTTCCTAGCTCTGTTGATGGAGAGAGTGTAGAAGCAGTGACACCCTTGTTGTAACAAGTACACATAGTGCCCAGATCATAACTTCTAAACATCATTCTCTGATAGATATCACTCTCTGATTTATAAAAAAAAAAAAAAGAAGGCTCCTTGAGAGGTGATGGATTGTAGGGCTGGGGCAGGGAAAATACAAGGTGAGTCTGGAGCATCTTGTAGTCCTGGTAAGTACGAAAATACTGAATCAATGAATGAATGATGGTTAAAGGATACAGGTCTAACCTGGAAAAGCTCCCAATGGCCAAAGCTGGAACAGTTTGAGCAACAAAATAAAAAATGATAGTAATGGACCATAACCCAAAGAATATCATTAATATCCAGGAGTCCCTGTGGTCTGCACCAGACTGTAGTATATTACTCTGCCCAAGTTGAAAGAAGATGAGAGCCCTTAGGGATTGAGTGAGCAGAAACTTACGGGACTGCAGAGAGAAATGTTTCCAAATGCGCCTCTGTTTTCTCTTTTTACAGTGGAGGCCTTAGGGTCAAGTAGCTTGCAGGCTCACATAGCTAATTCAAGTCTAGGTCATGCGTCTCTAGGTTTCTGTCACTGTCCCACACTGCCCAGTCTGTGTCAATTTACAGTTTTTCTCATATGGCAGAGGATATGACAGTAATCTCTATCAATCTCAGCTTTAAGAGGTAGACTAATTTTTCTTTCTTTCTTTTTTCTTTTAAAAGAAATTAGAGCCTGTAATTAGCATGTATTTTTTAGAAGTGAAGATAAACAAATTGATTGAGTTTTCTAAACATCAGAATTTTATTGGTAATCTTGACCCTTATTTCATAGTTCTAATGCTTTTAACAAATTTAACTTTAATAACTTCTATTAAAACTCTTAAGTGGCATTTGTAATACTTTTATATTTGGTATATATGGAAACATAATGTTTTATTTTATTGTAGAAGAAATTTTGGAATCCATAAGAGCAAAAAAGGGAGACATTGATATTGTTAGAAGCCCAGAAGAAATAGAAAAGGACAAGAATGAGACTGAGAATAACTCCAAAGACACTGAGAAAAGCAGAGAGGAGTTTGAAGACCAGTCCCTTGAAAAAGACAATGATGACAAAACAGCAGATGACGATCCTGAGCAAGGAAAATCTGAGGGTAAAAGCATTACTTGGTTAAAAAGAAATATTTCATCAGTGTTATGTAGTCTCCAGTTTTGCTTGCAAAATGAAAATGAATCTTTTTTATTATAAACAGCTATTTAATTTTACATTTCCTCCTTATAGCATGCTTAATCATCGTAATGAGTTTTAATATATTGGTGGATTTGCTATAATGTTATACCCCATCTCTATTTATACTTTCTAACAAGGTGCCATTTCCCTGTGAGATTTGTTGGTGAAAAAAATACTACTTTTGTACCAGAATATGCACTTTGGTATGTGATAAAATATGTTCATTTTAAAATTAACTTTTTAAACATTCTTGATATATTAAATATTCTTAAATGCCTTTTAGATTACCTATTGCAGAACTATCCCAGAATCTAATTGCTTCAAAATGGCCATCGAGTAAAAGGTTTTTTGATGATCATTCATTTTTCATAGTTGACTAAATGTGGCCACTTGTCCTAAAGCAGTTTTAAAGGATATCTTTAAAGTTTTGTTGTGCATTTTACTGTAGAGCCAACAGAAGTTGGGGATAAAGGTAACTCTGTGTCAGCAAATCTTGGCGACAACACAACAAATGCTTCTTCAGAAGAGACTAGTCCCTCTGAAGGGAGGAGTCCTGTGGGGTGTCTCTCAGAAACCCATGATAGCAGCAACATGGCAGAGAAGAAGGTGGCATCTGAGCTCCCCCAGGATGTGCCAGGTACAGACGGCAGTGTATCAATGCCTCTGTAATGGGGGGGAAATCCTTCCCTTTTGAGTAAAAGCTGAATGTCACCTAAAACTTTAAAGTATGTTTTCATTCATGCTGCTTGCTTACATAAGTGCCATCCCTTATTGCTAAATTGTCACCTAACATTTGGAGTTTGACAAGTGTTCTTGCATTTAGTGCTTGAAACTCATCATAATATTCATGCTTTAAAAAATTCATTTAGCTGTTTTTGTCTAATAGACTTATTTTATTTTAATCATCAAACCATAGTGGCAGATATTTTGGTTTTAAGTACTTACATACTAATGGCTCAATGTTGAATGATCTGACCATTCCAGTTCTATATTTACTAACAGATTAATTTTACGTTTGCATGTATGTGGTCATGTAAGTTTTTTTAAACATTTTAAACCATAATGTTACGATAGTAAACCATTGTCATAAACATTTTTTGTAAGATATATTTTGACATGGAAATGTAAGTTAACCAGTAATAAATATTTTGAACTTTTTAAAATTAAAATTATATTCAAAATAAGTTACATCACACCAAGAATGTCATGTCTTTCCTTTTGCCATTTTTAAAAATGAAAAAAATTTATTATAGGGTATTATATGTATTTTTTGAAAAACAAATTAGAAAATTTAGATGAGCAAAACAAGAAAATAAACACTGCTGATCTCATCAAAAATCAGGAATTATAGTTAATACTTTGATGGGAATCCTTAAAGAATTTCTCTATGTATTTTAAGAATACTATGTAATTCTTTGCCTTTATTTTTTTTTCCTCTTTATTTTGGTCATTCTGATAGGAACTTAGTGATATCTTATTGTGATTTGAACTTGCAGTTCCCTGGTGACTAAGGATGTTGAGTACCTTTTTGTGTATGTGTGTGTATGTCATATTTTGTGTGTCTGTGTGTGTGTGTGTGTATGTATACGAATGTATGTGTCATTTGGATATCTTCTTTTCTGAAGTGCCTGTCACTTCTTTTATTTCTATTAAGTGGTCTCTTCTTTTATTTATGGTTGTATCACTGGTCAGGGTCAGTCCAGTCCCTCTACTCCATCTTGACTGAAAGCAGAAGTTTCTGTGTTGATTTTTTTAAAACTTTTAACCCAATCTCATGTTCCTGGAATAAACACAACTTGGTTGTAATATATTTTTGTTCTAAAGTATTGTTGTATTCGATTTTTTAATATTTTGTTTAGGATTTTTGCATCCGCTTTCATGAATGAGATTGGCTTATAGGTTCCTTCTCTGATAGTGTCTGTGTCAGGACTTGGTGCCTAGACTGTGCTGGCCTCATAAAATGAGTTGGTACAAACTCCCACTTTTCCTTTTATCTGTAAGAGTTTCTGTGGGTTGGCATTTATTCTTTAAATGTTTGCTAAAGTCATCTGGTCCTGGAGTTTTTGTTGTGGGACAGTTATTAACTGTAGATGTCATTTCTGTGGTAGACTGTGGGTTATTCATATTTTCTGTTGTTTTCTTGTGTCAATTTTAGTAAGTTTTCATTTTTCTAGGAATCTACCCACTTCATCTAAATTTTAAATTTCATTGGCATAGTAACATCCTGTCCTTTTAATGTCTACAGGATCTGTAGTGATGTTATCTTTTTTATCCAGAAGTTGGTTCTCTGTTTTCTTTTTTAATCATTTCACAAGACCTAACAAATTTTATTAGTCTTGAAAGAAAAATAACTTTTGGCTTTGTTGATCCTATTAGTATGCTTTTTCTGGTTGTAAAAAAATCTTTATTACATTCCTTTTCTTTTCATTTTTGTGAATTTTTCTTCTTCGCTTTTTTCCCCCTAAACCACTCTGTTATGGTATAATTGACATACAAAAAGCTGTACATATTTAATGTATACAACTTGATGAGTTTGGAGAGAAATACACACTGTGGATCCATTGCCACAATCTATGGCATAAATGTATCCACTATCTCCAGTAATTTCTCATACCCTCTTTATTATTTTTTCTCCTAGCTTCTTAAGATGGATGCTTTAATGATTTATAGTTTTTATTTTTCTATGTCTGTTGTCAAGGTTGTAAGTTTCCCTCTAGGTACTGCTGTAGCTGCATCCCATAAATTTTCATATATAATTTTGTCTTTGTCATTCAGTTTAGAATATTTCCCAATTTCCTTTATGATGTGTTTTTTAAAAAAAACCCATCGCTTATTTAGCAATGTATTGCTTAATACCCAAACATTTGGAGATTTTTGAGTTATCGTTTTGTTACTGATTTCTAGTTCAACCCAGTGTAGTCAGATAACAATCTATATATGGTTTATGTCCCTTAAGATTTGTTGAGGCTTGTTTTGTGGTCCAACATTTGGTTTACATTGATTAACTATCTCACATACACTTGAAGAGGATATTTATTTTCAGTTTTTGGGTGCAGTATGGGACAATTAGGTCAAGGTTTTTAATTGTGTTTTTCAAATCCTTGTTATTTTTCTTCCCTCCCTGCAAGATACTTTTATGTTATTTCTAACTATTTACTGTGAGATTGCCTTTTTCTCTTTTGAATATTTTTAGTTTTTGCCTTATGTAGTTTGAAGCTGTGTTGTTAGGTACACATAATTTTTATATTTTTTGAACTGACTTTATCATTGTGTAATGTCCTTTATCTGTAATAATATTCCTAAACTGTAACAGCTCTATTTTGATTAGTATTTGTATTGTGTATCTTTTCTGGAATAGAAAAATCTGTAAAAATAACTTGAGAATTTAAAATCTCTTTAGAAATACCTCTACTTTAGAATATCTTTATATAAAATATATTTTTTGAATTTCAAACTATATTTTTTAAAGTCTTACCAGAGAGCGCTATCATTTTCTTATGACAGGCAGCATTATGCAGAGAAAAAATTAGAAATCTATAGTCTAAAAATCTGTGGGAGTGAGAACATCAGAAAAATGGGCAGATTTCATGATTTCAAATTGGGTATGATGAGTGATTAGAAAGATTTTATGTGCCTGAGACTGAAGATTAAACTGAAAAGTTAGACCATATTTTGGGAAATGTTGGTAAACATCACTTTATATAGTTAATCTCTGAATACCTGTTTCTCACATGTTTCCCCCTGTGTCTACACTCCAGACACTTCATTTCAGTTCATGAAAATAATTGTGCTGCCAAAAATGACTTCTTATAGCAAGTGTGCTGTTTATTATTCAATATAACTTCTTTGTAGTTAACAAAAAGCCCAATTTCAGAATTACACTTTTGTTCTGGATTTTAGATTTGAAGCTTTTTGTTCTAGAATGTTGATTTTTCAGTTTATAAGGGGAAAGAGGGAAATGTGTCTTTCCAGTATTTTAAGTTCAAATTCAAATTCACTATTGAGAATTTGTATTCAGACATATAATGCAGACAGCGTTTGTTTTATTTAAGTTATGCCTTTAGATTTAATACCTGGGATTAAGAAAATATCAGCAGTAGATAGAACTGGCTTTATTTCCATAACTATTTTTAATTGCTTTGAAAATGTTTCCATGGATGTATTGCGACTCTAACATCTATCTATGTTGAACTGTAAGACATGTTGATTTAACGTATTTCTTAACTTTTTGGGATAAATGATATCTTAAAAGATAGTACTTTGCTTTAGGTTTGAGTTTTATTACAAGGGAAACTCAGTGGATATAAGAGGCTTTTGAATATTAGGTGCTGAACTGATGTATTGCCCACATACTTTTTCCTCATTGAATTGATTGAAAATGGCTTTTGGAGGTTCTGTAGCTACATATTGCTCTTTTATTTCTTATTCTTTTTAATATGTTTGGTTTTAGCGTCTGGTCTAGAATTTTTGGACTATGAGGACTTGTGGCAGGTGATATCTTCTTTATGGTGTTTTGAAGCAAATGCTTGAGACTTCTTTAATCCTATAGCTTAATGAAGTAAAGAGTTCTAGAACAAAGTCAGCATTTTAAACTGAAATGAAGAAATACACTGTTTTCCACTTAAGACAAGTTAACAGAACTGTGTATTATGGGTTATAATAGTCCCTAGCTCATTAACGCCTTGAAAATTTAAATGGATAGATTCTGAACTCAGTTTGCTTTCAGTGGATTAACAGGATTTTTTAGATTAGAACACCTTGATGAGGGACTGTCTGCCTGCTCTTTTATGAAGTTCCATTATCTTCCTAATATCAGAGAGCACTTTCTCTGAAGTATTTTAAGATATCTATAGTCCGAATCTCTGAAATTCCTATCCCAGAATTATTTTCTTAGTTAAAACCATGCTTGGGGTGTATTATATGCTAAAAAAAAGTTTTTTTGTGGGCTGGTCTAGAATCGAATCACTTTTTCTTACAGTTCTGTGAGAAAACGCACTCTGAATTTTGAGCTCATAAATGAGGGGATGTCTTTCTATGCTGTTGCATTACTTGAGAAGATGGTTTTTAGACGATTACAGATTAGGAATACTGCGCTTTACAGAACCAGAGCCACAGCTGTGAAAGGAATGATTAGTGAGGAATTTGATGCTATTTGTGTGAGACTTCTTTTCTTCCAAATATATGCGTTTTCCAACATGGGTTAGCTGATTATATTACTGGCTTGCAGCTGTCAGATTTTAAATTTGCCATTTCTGTCTTTCATATAAAATTTTCTTATTATGAACATGCACAGAAGTTCTTATTTTCAAACATGCACAAAAATTGAAAATAGTATGATGACCCCTCCCCCATAGATCTAACGCTTAGATTTTAAAATCATTGATATTTTGTTTTTTTTGGGAAAGAGGCTCCAAATTTTTTTAAATGTCCCCCTTTGACCATAGGTATGCACTATTAGATAAATCATAGTCCTTAGTTAATTGCACTCATCACTGGTCATTTCATAGTCCCCCTTAATTTATTCATTCATGTTTGAAATTATCTTTGTTAGTGAAATAAACATCTAGGAACCTATCACCCAAAGCAAAAAGCTAAGTCCTGCTTTGAAACTAACCTGCGTCAGACCACTTCCTTAGTCCCATCCCCTGCATCCTTCTCTCCTGCCTGCAGTGATTGTCACTCTGAATCCTGTGCTAACATTTTGTTTCCTTTTTATAAGGGAAATCCAGTAGAATTAAGACTGTTAATACTGGAGGTCAAAGTGCTGTGTAACTCACATACTCTTGCTTCATTGAGTTGATCTACATGGTTTGCTAAAAACTGTTTTGGTTGTTTTAAACTTTATAGCAAGTGTGTTGTGTTAAGTATACTGTGTTAAGTGTGACTTTGGGGGGGGTCTTAATTTTTTCACTTTATGTTACTAATGTATGTTGCTGGAGTTCTTTCATAGTAACTGCATTATAATATTCCTCTGTGGAACTATACCACAGTTTATTTATCCCCTTTCCTGTTGATGTGAATTTGGGTTGTTTCCTACTGCAGTATTTTAAAGCAAATCCCAGACATCATGTTATAATCAGTACTACATACATCTCTGAAGAATATGGACATCTTCTTACATAATTTAAGTGCCATTATTATTTTAGTAAAATGGACAACAATTCCTTAATGTCATCTACTGTCCAGTCAATTTAAATTTTCTCATTTAAAGATTTTGTTAAATATTTGCTGTGTTTTAAATAACTCCAAATAAGATCCCCATACGACATGACATTTGCTTTTATATCTACTGAGTCTCTTAATCTAGAGCACTCTTCTCTTCCATGACTCTCTCTTCTCCCCCGCAGCCCCCCATGCTGTTGATTTGCTGAAGGATCCTAGGATATCCTCCATGGAATATCCCACATCCAGGATTTATCTTTCCTCTTCCTAGTGTTGTTTAATTTGTTCTAAAGTCTTGATTAAATTCATTTTCAAGTATTTTTGGCAAGAATATTTCATAAACTATGTTCTAGGTATTTCCCATCATATTGCATCAAAAGGCTCATGATGTCTGTATGTTTTACCTTTACAAATGCTGAGATTGATCAGTGAATTTCAAAATCAGTTATCTATTTGAAAGTTATGTGATTTCTAGTTCTATCATTTTTTCAGTATTTTTTAACTGAAATTCTTCTGTAAGGAATTTTCCCTCATTAAGGCTATTTGAATACCTTGAAATATAATTAGAGTAGGAGTAAATGCTTAATTATTTTTCTTAAAATCTGATTTTCAGAGTTAGGAGTTGGTGTCCAAGTTATCTTCAGTGATGATTCATGAGTTACGGACTTTTGCGGGAAGGGCACAACTTTCTCATTTTACATGTCTGTCTGAACTCGTGGGTCTTTATATATTCAGTGTGTTTCAGTCAGTTGTCGTTACCATTCATTTTGCTTGTATTGATCATTGGGAGCCCCTTCCTGTTGGCTTTTGAGTCCTTTTGCTGTGCATGATCCCTGTAGTCCTCCTTAAGGTTCTTTGCTTTTTGGCAGAGTAAGACGTCTGAGGCTTAGCTTACACACTTCCTACCCCAGACCTGCAAGAAGCCCTGGTCCCTTCTAGTGGGGAATAATATTTAGAGACTACAATTTGGGCCCACGAGTGTTTACTGCTCTTGGGCTCTCACTGCCTCTCAGATTTTTTGGTGGTAGTGTTAGGAAATACGTATTTTAGAACAGAAAAAGACCAATTCATGTTGGCATTTCAAATTCAGATCAAAGATTACATACTTAGTTTGTGTTTTTACACTTGTGTATCTTTTCCCTTATACCAAAAGCCTTAGTTCCTAACAGCAGTAACTTAATAGTGTATTTGCTTTATCTCGATATGGATGTTCATTAATAATAATACTGTAGTATTAATATAATTATTAATATCCTGATTTGCAATAATAATAGTAATGAGGGGAAATGGTTTAAATATCATAGTAATTTCATAATACTAATATTCCTCACAGTAAGACTACTGAATGACATTTAGAATTTTTTTTGCAGCTCTTAATTTGTCTTTATACCATATTTCCAGTAAGAACGTACAGTCAGAATACTGTGCTCCAAATTCACTTGAAATAATCTTTTTCTCTGTATGGTTACTGCCGACAACTTCATATATAGTTAGCTTGTTTTGTTTCAGTTTGTTTTCAGTTTTTAATGATTGCATTTCTAACTTTAATTTTTTTTAAAAATGGGAAACATTTACATGATTCCAAAGTCAAACTGTGTAACTATATATTCAGATAATCTTTAGCTTTGTCCCTTCCCTCTCTAGGCAGCCATTTCTTTCCCTTTCCTTATAGGTAGCCATTTTTTAAAATTTATTTTTGGCTATTCTTCCAATGTTTTTTGATAAATAAAAGCACCATATGTCCATAAGTTCATATTTCTCTTCCCTTCTGTCACAGTTAGCATGCTGTAAGTAGTATCCTGTAACTTTCTTTTTACATTTACTCATAAGATCATTTCATATGTAGATACAATGATTTCCTCAGTCCTTGTTCGGGTGCATGATATCTCATCGTATGTGCCATTTTTTTATTCAGCCAGTGCCCTACTGATGGGCATTTTGCTTCTGGCCTTTTGCCTTTCTAAATAATGCTGCAGTGAGTAGCTCTGTAAAAAAGTAATTGAGTATTTTTGCCAGTATGTCTTGGGATAGATTTCTGGACATGGGATTTCTAGGTGAAGACCAAACGCATCTGTAATTTTTCTAGTTACTGTCAGTTCCCTTCTATCCACTTTGCACGATGTTGCACTCCCTCAGCAGTGTGTGGGAGTACCTAACCCGCTGCTTCTCTACCTGAATGTACTGTGAGAGAGGTTTTTTGCCAGTCTGGTAGCTGGGAGGTCATTTCTCCAAATGATTTTACTTCTCATTTCTGTTAGTTTGAATTAAGTGAGTATATTTCCATGTTTGAAGGCCATTTTCATGTCTTTTGTCACTGTTCACGTCTTTTCCATTTTTCTATCAGGTTGCTGGGTTTTTTCCACAAAAAAATTTTAGGAGCTCATGATACATAACAGATAGCCTTTGTGATATCAACCACTTTTTAATTTAGGTGATTGATTTAAAAGGTACGTTAAGAGTGGCAAAATGAAATGCACAGAGAGGCTCTAGATTTTCTTTCTTTTTTTTTTTTTTAAATTGAGTTGTAGTCAGTTTACAATGTTGTGTCAATCTAGATTTCTGAACTACAGTGGAAAGACCTCGGCTTTTTCACAGCAGTGTTCATTCTGATATACTTTTAGGAACTATATACTCTTAGTGATACTATTATATTGTTCTTGAAATTAACAGCCACTTAGGCATTACCTTCTAGTAAAATTTAGGGGTGTAGAATTCAGGCAGAAAACCTTAGAGATAAATAATCCTGTTTAATTCTGTTTCTAATATTTGAATACTTTCTAAAAATTGAGAATATAAATGTCAAATTTTGAGAGATTATCTCAACAAAATCACTTCTGCAGTATCTGATACATCATAAGTTTTGTGAGATAGTTATATCACTTTATTATTTTGGAAGATTGTCTGCTTTGTCCTGCAGACTAAGGTGATAAGACTCTGAGTTAATGTTGAGAGATGTAAAGAAGCAATTCGTAGGGTGTTGCTTGCAAATTTCTTTTCATACATTGCATTATTCATACATGAGCAGCTCTTCCTTTTAAAATCTAGCTTTGTAATGCAATCCTAGAACAAGTAAATGTCTTTTCTGACAATTAGTAATTTTGATGTAATTTCCAATTTAAAAATCAGATATTCTATTTTTCTAGAAGAACCTAACAAGACATGTGACAGCAGTAACACTAGTGCTACCACTACCTCCATCCAGCCTAATCTGGAAAACAGTAACAGCAGCAGTGAACTAAATTCTTCCCAGAGTGAATCTGCTAAGGCAGCTGATGATCCTGAAAATGGAGAAAGAGAGTCTCATACACCTGTCTCTATTCAAGAAGAGATAGGTAAGAATACACTTCATGCATTGAAACAGACTTTTTAATTTTTTTTTTAATTTTTAATTTTTAAAATAAAAGTTTGATGGGGGTGGGAAGATTTAGATTTTCTTTTTTCTTTTTTCTTTTTTTTTTTAACACAAGTAGAACTGGCGTTCATTGTTTTTGTTTAAAAAAAAAATACAAGCACATATGAAAAAACATGTCTTTTTCACACCCCCTCCCCAGAGGTAACCACCGTCATTTGGTGTGTAACATTTTATATCTTTCTCCGTACAGTTACATGTGTGTTCACAAAAAGTTTTTTTTTTAATACATATATAAACGGGATCATTTTGCATGTATTGTTCTGCATCTTGCTTTTTTCAGTCAGTCATACATGTAGGGGATGTTTTCATGTTATCAACTGAATTTACTCTTTTTTTAACTGCTGCATGGTACTCTACAGTACAAATGAACTATAATTCATTTACTGTTTATTAATGGACATTTAGGCTGTTCCATTATTACAACTAGTGGTGCTTTTTAACTTTCTCAGCATACATCTTTGTGTACTTACGCAAGTATTTCTGACAGTATAGAAACAGTTAAGTGGAATTGCTGGATCATATGGTAGGTACATTTTTAAAATAGTGATGTCTACTGTTTAATTGTACATTAAAAGGGATTTATGCCAATAATTTATATACATATGTATTTCTTCATATTCTTACCTGTATTTGACATCACCTGTCTCTTACATTTTTGCTGATGGTGAAAAGTACTTCATTTAAAAATCTGCATATTCTTGCTTACTAATGTGGCTGAGTTTCTTTTCATGTTTTTGTTAAACTTTCTGTGAATTGCTTGTTCATACCTTTTGCTCATTTTTTCCTGTTGAGTTTTGGTATTTTTCCCTAATGAGTTTTAGGAATGCTTTATGTATTGTAGGTATTAATCTTTGATTTCACATATATACTTACATAGTAATCGCTTGTTTTTTAACTCTTATTTTATACGTAATTTTTAATATTTTTTGTGCAGTTAAATTTATCAATCTTTTTCTTTAGGATTTCTCTGGATTTTATGTCTTACTAAGGAAGACCATCCCTCTCCCAAGAATATACATATATTTTACAGTAATTTTACATAATACTTCTATAACTCTGTTTTAATACTTCTGGTGTATAATTTTGTATATAGTATGAGATTGATCTGTTTTAATTAGGACCTTTTCTATTGCAAATCAGCTTCAACTAGCTTGAGTAAAAAGGGAATTCAATTAGCTCATATAATTGGGAAGTCCAAGCCATCATCAGGCGTAACTGGACCCCCAGGTATCAAAACTCTTTCCGTTTTCCTCTTTCTGTCTCACCTTTTGGATCTGCATATATTTCTGTGTTAACCTCATTCTCTCCTGATACAGACAGGCTTTTTCCAAGTGGCAGGGAAGATGGCACCAGCGGTTTGTATTCATATCTTTCCAAGGTCTGTGACCCAAAGGCAAGGCCCCTACTCCTGCTTCAAATCAAAAGTCCTTGAGGAAGGAATTTGAGTGGCCTATCTTGGACATATTGTTCCCACTCTTGTGGCCAGGGCAGGCAAGGTATTATGACTGATGGCTCCATCAAAAATACAGGATTTGAGTGAGGTCGGAATGGTTTTCCGAAGAAAGAGAGATGCTGGTAAAGATAGGAAACAGTAAACAGCCACAGTTCCACCCTAGCTCAGCACAGACGTATGTATTCAAATTCAGAAATGGCTTCTGCCAAACATAATGCAAAGATCTGAAGCACAACTGAAAAAATTTTCAAAAACTTCTCTCCCAGAAGTACATCTGATGATTTTAATTGTTTTTAGGATTTCTGTGTGTTCTGTATTATTTTTGATTACATCTGGATGTGGCTTGGCTCGATCTCATAATTTATGAGCCAAATTATGAATTTAACTACTTGTAACTCTCATTATTCTGATGGTGGACAATGTTCTTTGATAAATCTGGCTTCCACTGGTTTTCTGGGATGATGGAAGTGAGACACTTATGGGAAGATCCCCCTTCTGGAGGCCATTCTGCTACAACAGCCTAGATCCAGCTGCCTTCTGTCAGGGATGGGCTGCTGGAAATTGCTGTAGGTTTGAATAATTATACTTTCCAGTTTGACAGGTTTGGAGTTTTTCTGGCAGTAACACCCCCTTATAGATTGCCTAGATAATCTAGGTAGTACCTAATGCCCAGAAACTTGGCTCAGGACACCTGAAGGTAAACCCCCTCTATTTGCCCAGTTTGTCTGCTTAGCAGACTGGCCCTGGCCCTCAAGTGAACAAAGTCTGGCTGGGCCCCTGCCTCCTGATAACATTAAACAATGAGCTACAGAGGTTGGAGTAAAAGCTGCTCTGTACTCTGCCTGCAGGCTGTACCACAGTGATTCGCTGCTTTGTAACTGAGGAATATGGCCTTTGGGCAGGAGGCGTGTGTAGTGACCTCCACCTCAACCTTGTTCCCTTTCTCGACTTCTTTTGGTCTTACCCCCAGGGATGAATTTTCTGCTCCTTTCCCTTCTTTGCACCAAATTTAGCGAAATTGCAAAGGACTGACTCTCAGCAGTGGTGGATTGTTGGTTCTAAATTGAGGGGCTTCTTTTTAAAAAAATGCAGTGCCATTCCCTTTCTGCTTTTAGGAAGTCTGACCTAGACCAAATGATGTCGAAAACGTCTTTATTGTAGGATTTCAAAAGTGGTCCCAACAAGTAGCCACTGTATTTCAACATGTTGGCATCAAAATCCAGCACGGGTAGAATCATGGTATGAGACCCAGGAGAAAATTGTTGATAATCTAACCAACTGCTTTGCTACCACACATCAATCGAAGGTTATTGGCTTTCCAGCCTGGATGGCAAGATACTCAGGACTCCTGCTCCATCTTGGTGTAGTCAGTGCCGTATGTTGAGGCCAAAATCTTAACATACTCTACTGGGTTATTTAGAATTTGTTAGTTGCAAGGGACAGAAATCTACCAGACTTGCTTAAAAAGGGAATTTTGTTGGCTCCTAAAATTGAAAAGTCCAGAGGCAGTGACAGCATTGGGTGTGTTACTGGACCCTGGGAGCCAAAAGAGGAGGTCATGGGTCTTCCTCTCAGATGCTTCCCTGCTCTGGGATGGGCTTATTGTATTGCTGAAAACTTTCTCCATGTTGTGGGGTCAACGTAGCCAAACTTAATTTATACCCTCTTTGCTCGCTAATACAAAAAGCAAGACTGTTTCTCCAGCTCCAGACTTTAAAAATTGAAATAGGATGCTGGTTGGCTTGGACCACATAGCCAGTCCTGGAAAAGTCACTGTGGACAAGATTCTTGATTTGCAGCCCTAGCAGAGTCACATGATTGAGGTGGGGGGAGAGTTATCTCCCCAGAGTAAAGAAGGGGTGTTGAACACATAAAGTTAATAGATGTTTCCTGTATTGTCTTAACTTTTACATTTTTCAAAATTGGTAGCCATTTTCCACAGTTTAATTGTTTCCTCTACTCAAAATGTCATTTTTATAATATGTAACAGTAAATTTTCTGTTTGGTTTTTCATTTGCCAGTGCCACACTGTCTTAGTTTTTAAAAGCTTTACATTAAAAAAGAAAAATGAGATCCTGTTCAACTATCTGGCCAATGGAAATTGGACAGAGATGCAGTAGTTTTAGAATGTATAGAAGTTTTCAGCTGAAGTGAGATTCATGAAAAAACAGAAATGCTTCTTGGCAGTGAAATCCACCACTTTTAAAAATTGAAATCCTGTGAAAATGTGAGAGACCTTTATTATGTTAGAAACAAAACTAATGCAGTTGATTTTCACATGTACAGTTACTTGCACACACAGATAGTTTCCTTAAGAGAAAATTCACTTGGCATTTATGTTTATAAGCTTTAAACTATTAGGTGTTTAAATAAAATTTCAATAGAAATCTTTCTAAAATTAATTATATCCTTTACTTTTAATACAGAAATCCATATGAATATATAAGGCAACATTTTATTAGTGTGCTTTTTGAGTTATTATGTCTGTTACTTGCAAATTTGTAGCAACCCTTTCTCTTTTTTGGTAAATGAACTTTGAAACAGGTAACCTGGCATGTTTGAATTTTCTGTAAAATAATAAATGATTCACAGTAGAATTCTATATACTTTCTTCTGAGTAAAACCTTTAAGAATTAATACATTTTTTTGGCTGTTCAAGGACTTTTTCTGTTTATTTTCTGGATCTTAGATGTCCACCAGATAGTAGTTTTGGATAAGTAGCGTGTTATTACTATATATAGTTTACCTACTGTTAGCAGTTACTTTTGACTTTTTATTTGGTAACAGGTGATTTCAAATCAGAGAAGTCTAATGGGGAAATAAGTGAGTCTCCTGGAGGTGGAAGAGGAGCATCTGGTTCAACTCGAATCATCACCCGGTTACGGAATCCAGACAGCAAACTTAGTCAGCTGAAGAGCCAACAGGTGGCAGCCGCAGCCCATGAAGCAAATAAATTATTTAAGGAGGGCAAAGAGGTGTGTTCTTTCTGTTTGAAACAAAATCCTCTGGAATGTAAAATAATTTTATTTATTGTACCTTAAAAATCAGGGCAGGAAGTTTGTAGATTACTTATGAACTGTATTTTCTTGACTTCCAAGAGCGTGGTGGGTAACAAGATTGAAAGTGTTAGGTTCGTATCATGATAAGTATGGTCAGTGGGGAGGGTGTAGCTCAGTGGTAGAGCACATGCTTAGCACACATGAGGTCCTGGGTTCAGTTCCCAGCACCTCCGTTAAAATAAATAAGTAAATAAACCTAATTACCTCCTCCCCAAAACAAGCAAATAAGTATAGTTGTCAACCCACATTTCAGTCCATGCATAGAAATGCTGTTAAGTGGGTGATATATTTCCTTACCCCATGGTTAATTTTATTGTATGTAATTCTTAAGAGCGAGAGGCCTTTTTTTTTTTCCAACGTATGGGAAGGAGTGGGCTCTTTGTGGGTTTTATTAAGGACTTCATGCTCAGTGCTAGCTATGATCATTTTCAGTGAGCCTGCAGGTAAAGGATGGGACTGCCCCTTGATGGCAGTTACAGTGTGTAGAACAGCACAGCACCTCAGCTCGGATTATGAACAAAAGACTGAGCATTTGGTAACCCAGACAGCCGTAGTGATAGAATAATGGTCACAATTGTGTCTCTCAGATTTGAGAATTATTTGCAGGGTAGAAGTGCAGTATACAGTGTCTTTACCATCATGGACTCGGCTTTAAGGCAGCAGCTTTCAAGCTGCTTTTTCACCCTGACCCTCAGTTGGGCACTTCTCAGAGCAACCCAGTACACACATTCAAAAGTTCCCTGAAATAGTATTTTGCCTTACTAAGTAGGAAGCACTCTGGTATTTTCTTTTCTCCTCTAGTCTATTGTATTATATTTAATTTTTTAAAAAGCTGAATAAGGCCCACTATGGATTTCACAGTCCACTAAAGGGTTGGAATCAGCTGTTTGAAACACTATTTCACTGTGTCCACGGGCTCTCATCTTAAGCTGGAAAGATAAAAGGAGCAGAAGAAAAGGTATTTTTAGGAATATATTTTTGGGGGAATAGTACATGTAATGCCCTCTTTTGTCCCTAACTCGTATATATTATAAGCTAAAAATAATGATTGGCAAGCAATTTACATACTACACATTTAGTTCATGTGTTTATTTGAGATACATGAAAGTACTTAATAATGTCTGATGTATAATAGGCGCTTTATTAGATTAGTTTTCTTTCTTTTTGCAGGCGTATCTTGGTTGTTTATAAACAATTCGCTTTAGCTTTTAAACTTCAAAAGTTTAGTCATAAGATGTATCTTAACTTATTTTGAATGATAAATTACGATATTAAAAGATAGTTGATCAAATGTACATATTTGATATGAATAATGGAATATTTTAATTTTATTGGTCAGGTACTGGTAGTTAACTCTCAAGGAGAAATTTCACGGTTGAGCACCAAAAAGGAAGTGGTCATGAAGGGAAATATCAACAATTATTTTAAGTTGGGTCAAGAAGGGAAATACCGCGTCTACCACAATCAGTACTCCACCAATTCATTTGCTTTGAATAAGCACCAGCACAGAGAAGACCATGATAAGAGAAGACATCTTGCACATAAATTCTGTCTGACTCCAGCTGGGGAGTTCAAATGGAATGGTTCTGTCCATGGGTCCAAAGTTCTTACCATATCTACTCTGAGACTGACTATCACCCAACTGGAAAACAATATCCCTTCATCCTTTCTTCATCCCAATTGGGCTTCACACAGGTAAACGAAGCTAAAGGTTATTTATTGCTGTGAGTATAGTAAATATTTATAAAATGATTATTGCAGCTGCACTCTTTAAACTGTCATTATTAATGAATTGAATGAAGTCAGTTTAGTTAGCAAAACACTGGGGAT